CCAGATTGAGATGGTTTGGACATGTGCAGAGGAGGGATAGTGGTTATATTGGTAGAAGGATGTTGGAGATGGAGCTGCCAGGCAAGAGGTCAAGAGGAAGGCCAAAGAGGAGATACAGTATATGGATGTGCTAAAAGAGGACATGAAGTTAATTGGGGTGAGACTAGAGGATGCTGAGGATAGAGTTAGGTGGAAACAGATGATTCACTGTGGTGACCTCTAACAGGAACAGCCGAAAGAAGAATAAGACATTTTATTATGCTACACTGTTAGGCCACATGCATATGCTAAAATGTGCAGGGGGTTCAATGTGAGAGCAGATGTAGCTGCTTGAATTATGCAAGACATAAATTGTTAAAATAGATAACGTTGTTAATGTTTTTATTTTATATCATTTTTTCCTCCATTAATCATGTGAAGACCCCTCAGCTGTAACTCGTTGTGGGGCCTGACCTCTAGGTTTGGAGCCAACAAACTACCTAACAGTAAATACAATGGCTTAAACTAACTAACTTCACCTCAACCAGCACCAAAAGATAAATGCTACTTACAGATTGATACATCAGTATTAACAATGTAATAATACATGCATAATGGGTACTTTGATATATGATGAGTACATTTTACTGATACTACTGTTGGACTGGAGCAGTATTTTTGCAGGACTTCTATGTTTTGAAACTGTTACTGGTTCATTTACTTAAGAAATGGATCTGAGTACCACCTGAACCACTGATAAAGAGCAGGCTAAGGAGGTTGGTTGCTTGTGGTTTGGGGTTGTATAATATTATATAATACAGTTAATACCTCTTAACACAAAAGATTAAAGTATAACTTTAAAGAGTATTCGCAAAAGACATTTAAAACCTCACGCATCATAAATTTAAGCATTGATGGCGCATGGATGGAAATAAATAGAAACCCAAGAGATAGGGTGTTACTATAACGTCTGTGGCTACCTAGTGTGCATAACATGACTTTTAACATTGACATTAGATGCTTTAATTCAACAAAGTAACTCCAGTGTGCAGTGTGATGGCGCTGTTTGCTGTCAGTTGAGAAGAACCCCAGCAGTGCAGATGCTCCTCTTAGTTTTCAGTAAGATAATTCTGCATTTGAAATGGCAGCAAAGAAGAAGATGTATCTACGTGACTGAATGGATTTTACTACATTAGTGGCTTTTTATCTTAATAGGATCACAAGCATCAAACTCTGACACTGCATGTTAAGGACAATGTTTACAGAAATATAATGAACTTGACTTTATCTGGAGTCATGCATGGATCGACTGAGCAGCTGATGACTGGACAGAAGAGATAGAGACAAAAATATTCCATAAAGACAAACAACAAAGATTTTGGAAAATGTTATGGCTTTCTTTCCTCTGAGCTACAGTTGTATTACTAGCTTGATTTGTACTGTAAACTGCAGTTTTCTGTAGGACTAATTGCTTTAGTTCTAATTTGATCCTTTTTTTTACACTGATACGATATGTGATGCTGACAGGATGTGGAGGCGGTACCATTGCCTGATGGGCAGCTCTGCTTATTGACTCTCCCACCAGAGTGCTGTGAGGGGGAGGGACCAGAGGCCGTGTCGTACCTCAAACTGTTCTGCCGCTATATCACCGACCGCAAGGTGAGTGTGAACATTTATGGTTAATCTTATGACACCATCTGTAGCTAACATAAAGCTTCTCTGTCTCTGTCAGGGTGTGGTTTCCGGTATCCTGTTGGTGACTTCTAATAAGATCTTCTTTGACCCGTGTAAGACACAAGCTCTGGTGAAGGAACATGGCTGTGAGGAGTACCTTCTGTCATGTTCTATTGACAACCTAGCATCTGTCTCCTTCTTCTCTGACATCTCACATGTTCACTTTAACACCTCCAAACAGAGGTCAGCAAAAATTCATTGTTCCTAAACAACACACACATTGATTACATGAAAAGTCAATGAAAGTGTTTTATATTCATTTTTGCTTTAGGAGAAAAGGAAAGAATTTTTTCCAGAAGCTCACTAAAAGCCGAGCAATTGGCTCCCCAGCCCGCAAGTCGCGTCCAGCTCTGGTGCCTGCGGTTTCATCAGATTTGTCCAGTCTGGGTCTGAATAAAGATGTTTCAGAAGAGGAGGAGGCAGAGAGCAGAAACACTGCAGAGGCAGAGTGGGAGCTCGATAACAGGCCTCTGGAGGTGCTGTCGGAGACGTCTGTAGGTGGTCTGGGAGTGGCTGTTCTGAGCAGTGCTGCCACCTTCTGCTGTGGAGGCCAAGAGGTGGCAAGTAAAGTGAAGACAGAGCTGCTGCACACTGATGAAGCTGAGAAATCGCATGTGAAGAGTCAGACTGCAGGTACAAATGTGACTTACCTCCCTGATAGATGTATTATATCTTTGTTTCCATTCTCCTTACCTTAGTCAACTCTTTTTTTTTATTTACCAGTGCCTCAAAGGTCTTCAGCAGATCTTCCAGGGAGTCTGATGTTTGTACGGCTGCGGGTTCAGCCGTCTGCAGGAAAGAAAAAAAGTGTAAGAGGTCTTCACCTGGGGTCGGCCAAAACTTCACCTCAAAGGGATGCCTGGCTTGCCCTTTCACAAGAAAGGTACAGAGACCGGAGATTTAAAGGGTTACTCCAATGATTTAGAACTGCACTTCTATATGGGTCAAGCTCCAAAAGTATCAGATACTACTACACTCACCGGCCACTTTATTATATTCAGAGGTGTTCCTAATATTCTGACCCTACCATGTATGTAGCTGGGGAGGACAAAAATGCAGAGACACTTCTAAATATCTTTCTCATTGGCTCAATACTGTGCACTTTTATGCCATTCCTTTTTTTAATTGTCAGTTTTCCTTTACAAAAGCTGTTGATACACCACTTCAGCAAAAGTAAAGGGAGAATTATCGATGTAAGAATATACTCATACCAGAGCAATAGAAGAATGAGGTGCATTCAAAAGCCACTAATGCTCTATTTCCCGCCGTGTTGACGCAGCTGTTGGTGCTGTTTGCCATTTCAACATGTCAGAGTGACTACGTTCTTTTCTCTCTATAGCTCCGACAAGCTGTATGCTTACTTAACACGCTGTCAGCCAGACCTGTGTATACTGGAGGGAAGAGGGGAGGAGGGCGAGGCGGATCGCGATGAAGAGGAGTTTGTGCTTATTGAGGATGAGGAGGAGGACGAGGGTGATGAAGAAGAGGTGTTCCAGAGGCACCGCAGCTCGGGAGATGACTGGGAGGTCAGTGGGTTCATTGCAGTCTCACAGGACAGTAGTGAATGAGATGTCACCTGGAGGTTTGTGTAAATAATGGAGAATAAAGTGTTTGTTTGCCTCAAGATTCAGTGCAGATAGAAATGAGTTTTCATGGATCTTAATGTTCTAGAACAAACAGACTTATGTGTTTTGGTTTTAATAGATCTGTGTTTTTGCAGATGGTGTTAATGGAAGAGAGCGAGGAGAAGCCAACCCTGGTCATCGACAGGGATCCTGAAGGACTCGGCAGTATTATCGAGAACAGCCACGTTTTGGAAACATCACATGTTAGAGAGGTGTGTCACGGTGATCTGTGCAGCAGCGGTTTGTAAACCTGTCACTAAGTTTGTCTGTAGCATAGGTTTAGTTTCAGAAGTCAAGGGACACAGTTAAAGATAAAGACACTGTGTATTTAATGTGTAAGTGCTGTTTTCTGCCTTTACATACATTTACATCAGTCTAGCAAATTACAAATTGGGATAGAGTTGGTTATGATGCTGTAACCTAAAATATCCAAAAAATACAGCATTGTTAATGCACTGACTATAATTATAATCATGTTTTGTTTCCTTTTTAGAGACCTCAGACTTTATAATCTTGTATTTGCTTCTATATTACAAAGAGTTTTATAGCCTTCATTTTTTTTTTATCATGTTCAGTTCTGGAATCTATCAAGTGTGTGTTGTGCAGCCAGTTTTAAATGACGAATAAGAACACCTCCTTTTCATACTATGACTATGTTAAACTTAAACAGCAGAAGAGTAGGCTGATGGTTGTGTGGATGAAAATGATGCTAATGTAGTAGTCCTTGGATTGATAATGTACCATTTTCAGTGTGCACCAAGGTGCAAATATGTTATGTCAGGATCTGGCTCTGTTTATATAATTATTATCCTTCCTTACTCACCTTTTATTTTCTGGTTATTCTACTCATTTTTCCACACTCCTTTTATCTTTTTCAGTTATGTAAGGAGCTTCCCCCCAGGACAGTCGCCCGCCCCTGGCAGCTGGCGTACAGTACGTCACGCCATGGTTCCAGTCTTAAGTCCCTCTACAGAAAACTCAGTGGTACTGACTCTCCTGTGCTTATTGTCATTAAGGATGCACTTGATGAGGTAAAAAATACCCCGCGCATTAGTTCTAATATCAATGCGGCAGTGTCTTTTATTTTTAAATGATGCAATTTGTTATTGTTGCTGCCTTTTGTGGCTTCTCTTCATTAGATATTTGGGGCCTTCCTCTCTCACCACCTGAGGCCCAGTGAGACGTTTTACGGCACAGGAGAAACATTCCTGTTCATGTTGCACCCTCGCTTCAAGGTAAACCAACTAACAGCCACCCTGAGGGTGTTACTGTAGCCACCTTGTAAGATACAGTATCTACTAAGACTCACAAATACTGCATTTTGTGCAAAATGCCAGAATGTGATAAATAAATTCCTAAATCACTCAACAATGTGAAAGTGTTGATAGCTGCACATGACTGTTCTTTAAAATTTCCAAAGATTTTCACTATTTTGACTTGTTGAATTAATTCTACTAAAAAGGAATAATCAGTTTTTGATTATGAAACTTAGAGTTGCTTCTCATACTTTTGTGACAGTTGTGTCTGCCGTCTCTTTGCAGTGCTTCAGATGGACTGGAGAAAACTCCTTTTTCATTAAAGGAGACTTGGATTCCTTTGCAATCGGTGGAGGCAGGTAATGTGTTTTTTTTTTTTTTTTACCACTTTCTCTCTTGCTTCAGTTTGTATGTATGTAAGAATGATATCAGTCAAACCGAGTTTTAAAAAAGGCAGTTTCTTTTTCTTCACCACGCTTTATTTCGCAGCGGCCACTTTGGTCTGTGGGTCGATGAGAATCTGTACATGGGTCGCAGCAGCCCCTGCTACACTTTCAATAACTGTTGCCTGTCAGAAACCGACGACTTCCGCATCATGGAGCTGGAGGTGTGGACATTCAGCTGAGGAGACTGGCCATCTCCTTGACTCACCTTGTTGCCACTGATCAACTTTATCAATACAGCTTTTATCACTGAGCAAAAACAAATACAGCTACTTGGTCATTTCATGGTAATGTCCATGTAAAAAAAAAAAATCAAACAAAAGCTGCTGATGTATCTGTGTGATTAAGTGCTGTGGATCTTAGTGAACTGAAATGCACTGGAAAAGGCCGATCTTTGAACAGCTTTCTGTTCCAGAATGGGGTTTAACGGTAGCCTGACTCATTCCTCTGGGTCTGGCAACCAAATCGAGTTCTACTACATAATAGTGAGCGGAGCTGAGCTGCTGTGAAACTGGATTCTCTGAATCCTCATTTTGGATGGAGCTGAATACAAGTCTCCAAGATTGCACTTTGCTCTTAATGTGAATCAGTAACTTCATGATAACTGTTCATTTATCATGTGAAAATGGTGGTACGCCTGTCTTCATAGGTAATACATACCCTGTAGAACTGTTCAGTTAACGCTAAATGTTCGATACCCACATTAATCTATTTCCTAACCTGCACGTGTACAGCCAACAGTCCCGCAAATAAGCTTCCTTTTGTCAGTCACCATTCATTTCTGTGGTTTTTCATGATTTAGCATCAGACAGCATAAATTAATATTGCAGTGAAACATGTAAGAATACTTGGAGCGCCACTCTGAGAAAAACTTCAATAGAAAAACATCTGTACTTGCGATGACTCGCACACCTTGTTCATGACTATTCTGAAGTCGTTTCATTTAAAATGCTGACTCATACGGCACTGTGGTCTCTCAACATGAAACAAAAGACTCAATTGTTACTGCAAATAATGCAATTTGGTCATCTGTAACATGCTTTCACTCCATTACTCCCATCTACTGTGCTCTCTTTGTACAGTATTAGAGATTAGCTAATAAAAATAAGCACAATGTGGAATACTACAAATAAGCTGATGTATGATTCATTCACTTTGCAGTGTGTGCTGGATGCTGCCAGAAAGAACAAATTCATTTTGTTTAAAAAAACACTTTTATTTCACCTTGTGAAAAATGGCACTGGTAGGTTACAGAATAACAGTGTTTTTTCCCCCTCAAGGCTCCAAACAGTCAGATATTTCACATGGCCGGGACCTGGTATGACTTTTACAGAGCCATATTCCAAATTAATGTTATTCTCATTCATCAGAATTCAGTGTTACTACTTCCAATGTCTTTTCTTGAATACTAGGGTTTTCTGTTTCTCAGTACAAACTGAAATAAGGACTTGAAGAGGAAACATTTTGTATGATTTGAAAAGGAAAAAATAAGATACACAGAGAAACTGCTAGATATTTTTTAAAATGGCAAAAATGAAGGATTTTCTGTTGTCTAGCTACAGACACAAGCAAATACATTTTGACTGGAGCAAGAATACAGTACACAGTATATCATGTGCCTTTCAGTTCAACAATCAAACAGTCAGATATGCCCATTTGGTTCCACTGAGTTACATAAATATGCATCTAGTGGGGGTGTGACTTATGGATTTTCTTTGTGCTCCACCGCTGCTCTGTCTGCACGTCAGCTGCTTTACGTATCAAAATCAGTGTTCTTTGGTGTGGTCACATTATTTAAACAGACAATTTGCAACATTTGATTTCAAACTCAAAGTTTGAGAAAACAGCTGAATAAATAATAGTATGTGCCACAGTTCAGTTTTGCTTTTCCTGCAATGTTTGTCCCCTGAGGCAGAGATGGGTGTTCCCTCCAGCTGCCTCGGCAAGAACATCAGGCGTTACCCAGCTCAGACAGAGCTTTCAGGCAACGTCTTCACAAGCTGCCGAATTACAGCTGGAGGCAACAGCTGCACTGGGGCTCTCTCTGGGTACACTCAGCAACAGGAAAACTGCACAAACAACACCAGGATACAAATGAGGACATATTTCATCTTCGGCTGGGTTGTGATGCGCATATATGAATTTTCTGTAGGGTGAAACGACACTTGCGCTTAAGAATGACTCGGCAGGCCTCTGTCTACATTTTGTATCAACATTATTCAGCAGCTACAAGCAGAGAGAGGAGGTCTGAATGTATTTGCAACTGTTCAGTGCAAGTTCTTCATTAAAATATACTACTGTATTATAGCAGTAACAGTACAGTATGTGTACTGTTTGTCACAATACAAATACTGTATAAAAAAAAAAAAAACTGTTCTAGCCAGGTGAGGTGCTCAAATAAATAATGACAAGGATGAGGGATGAGAGAAGGCAAACATGTTTAAATTAGTTGCCAACATAGGTAAGAAAGCTTTTCTACATAATTGTAGGAGGAATGATTATCATTTTCACAAGTTCTGTCACTCACACATTACTATGCCAGGTACTCCTTGGCCTTCTTCAAGCCCTCTTTCAGGAAGCTGATATAAGTGGATGTGGAAGGGTCCTCAAACCCCCCAGAGAAGCTGAAAGGTGCCCCATCCTCCTCTGGTTTCATGGCCGTCTGGTCTAGGAAGAAGTTGGCATTGATGTGGTGGACCTAAAACCATGTATGAGACGTAGATGGAAATTTTCACTGAGACTTTGTTTTCCTACAGTAGTTGTTAAGCAAATAATGACTTAGGTAATGATGGTGTCCATAAAAAATTCTAAGATGTTGGACATACTACTGAGAAGCAAAGTGTGCTAAAGGTTTTCCCCCCAAATCTTGTTAGTGTTAGTGGCAGAGTCCGACAGACCCGCACCAGTTTTAAATTCAACACACTAGGTATCATAGGAAACAATCCATACATGATGTATGTCACTGATATCAGCCTCAATGCTCAATGTCCAGCAGTGGTGTGTGCATGCTGTTAAGTTATTTCTAATGAAAGCCTAAAATTTCATGTGAGTTGATAATATTATCATAATATTTACAATGGTTCCATTTGGCAGTGCCACCATCATCTCCACAGGGAAGCTGTACTTCTCCAGATGTAAACGGGCCTTTTCACTCAACACAGGGCTCTGCTCATCAGCCTGATAAAAGAAGAAACTATGCATTATTTACAGCTTACCTAGAATTACAACCCCAAATCAGAAGACCTTGGGAAGGTATGTAAAATCAAAATTAAAACTGAAAGTAGTGATTTGTAAATCATCTGCCTCCTGAAAGCATTACAGCAGCACTTTTGCTGATTTGGGGTTGAAGAAACTGAAAGATCAGTATTTTAAAGTAATTGGAGGAAACATGTTGGTGGGGGTTGCACTCTTCTGATTGCTTACCTGCATGTTCTCCAGCTCCTTGACCAGAGACCAGCTGCTGATGAAGCTCTGGTTGAGCAAGGCCAGGACGGGCGAACTTTCCAGGACAGTCTCCCGGAGAGTTCGCCCCGAACCTACAAAGAGAAGACAGATGCTGAAAAACAAAATAGCGTCATAAAAAATACACCAAAATGTACAATTCAAGTTTACTTCAAGGACCACATGGTGCTCATTTGTAAGAGGTAGACTGGGTTATTTAAGTAAATAATAAATACCCTGCCAGAGAAAATAATCTTTTGGAATATAATTTTTTTAACTTCTTTTTATGTTTGTTGAGTATATTTTTAAGGCTTGTAATTCAAACTGTCCTCACAAGTCATTAATAATGCACAATGTTGTGAAATAACTACTTGAAATTCATCTCACCTCAGCAAGACTGGTCATCTAATGCTCCCCAAAGCAGAATGGAATGCACCAGCTTTTTCTCTGCTTCAGCTCGCTCAAAGGCCTCTGAAAAAGGCAGGTAAGACACCTGGGAAGGAGAGCAGTGACAAACAAAGGTGTGTTGACTGACTGCTTCATGACCAAAGTTAGATTAGATTAGATTAGATTCAACTTTATTGTCATTACCCATGTACAAGTACAAGGCAACGAAATGGGAAACATCTGAGACATGTATGTTTACCTTCTTGAAGGGGTAGAAGGTCACCTCGAGGCGTCGAGCCGCTTCTTGATGACTGATCTCTGAGGTCCAGTGGATGTCCTCAAAGACAAACTGGATTGGCTCACTGTTGCCGTCTCGCCTGTCAATGATGTTGCCCTCCTCATCCGTGATGATGGAGGGAGTGGACGGGCTGGTGGACTGCAGCTCTAACTGTAAACACGTGAAGAACTTTTAACACAAAAGAATCTCATTAAAGTAAGTGGAAATGCATCACTGCAGCTGTACCTGAGGTAAATATCCGATGTCCACCTCCATGTTGCTGCTCTCGCTGGCCCCGTACAGCCACTCCATGTCCACATTCAGAGACCTGGGACACAGCAGGACCTGTCACACTGGAACTACAGTAGCTGACAACAGCAATGGGACAATGTGTTCAAAAACCTTACCTGTCATTGGGGACATAGAGATGAAAGTGGCGGACATGGGATGTATCTTTAGATAGGACAATGTTACCAGTGAACTGGCCTGGGGTGAACCAGAAGGGAAAGTCTGGAACATTATTGAGCTGGAATTCAGCATGAATCCTGCAGAGGTGAACAGAATGAGGAATTGGATTTTAAAGTCACTGGTAAAGCCATTTTAAACGACCAAACCAGTGCATTTTGCAAACGCTGACATCTGATAGGTGAGGCTGCCGCTAAAACGTAATGCAAGATGTCTGAGCAAGATATCGGCAAGTCGGACACTGTAGGCAAACATGAAATACACAGAATTGACTTTGCAGTTGGAAAACTCATACTTCTGAGTTTCCAAGTGGATATGTCTCTGCATGGTGATTTTAAAGCAAACCCAGTGATTGGCTGCCAAACGTTAATCTATTCCCTAATCTAAAATTCATGGTATCTTCTGGACTAATGTAAAGTATGCATAATTTCAAGGTTAATGGGCTAATGGGTTAAAAAAAAAATGCACCACTGTAGTCCTGCATGACCCCGCCTCACCTGAAGACAATGTCATAATAAAAGTCATTGCTGGCACGAATGCAGGCGACTGTGCCCTGAGGAGCAAAACGTGATTTGATGAAGGGTCGAGGGTGGAACATACTCAGCAAGGAGTGGATGAGAACCTGTGGCAGGGGAAGAATAGCATCGTCATATCCACACACACACACACAACCAAATCCTACAGAAGAACTAAAAAAAACAACAAGCATTTAGGATACCTCTTTGCCTTTTGGTGTGGGCGGATGGTAACGATTGTTAGGCAGATACCCAGTGAAGATGCTGAGCTCGCTAGGAATCACCCACCACGTGTCTCCCACTTCGACTTTGTTCTTCGGGGGCAAGAAAACCCCGAACTGTCTGGCAGAGAAGGATGAAGAAGGCACTGCTGGGCTCTGCCATGAACGCAGCCCGCTCAGAGAGCTGCGAGAAACCTGCAAGAAACGGTGGCAGAAAACCGGAGGTGAAATTGCTCACTAAATTGGTAAATTCTTCAGAACTAAAATATCAGTTCTAAACAAAATAAGCAAAAATTGCCCTAAATATGTGTGCTACAGCTAAATCGGTCTAAGATCATTAGGTTCAGTTGGTAGCGTACACATTTTGAATTAACTGAATTCACAAAGCACTGACACAGTGTCTGAAAATGAACTGCACTGTCACACAGGCTCTTCTGCGATTTCTATGTTGCTATTATTAAAGCAGCTCTACAACAGCCTGTACAGCAATAAGAGAGAGAGAACACTAAATCTCCATGTATGAAGAATGCCTAAACAATTTGGTGTCATCTTACTCCAAGGAAACCATCCTTGCTTTTTGTCATGGAGTCAAGCAGCAGAGGCTGCATTTTGGCCTCCAAGGTCAAACTCTCTCCGTTGGGGTCATAGGTCACGTCTTCTTCAAAATCCACTGGAGGTGTAACCCCTGCAAAGATCACAGTTGATGGGGAGTTATATGGGAGAAATGAGACTGAGCTTTTGTTAGCCAGAGAGGTGATGGTAATAAATAAAAGGGGAGAGACAGGTGTGTTGTACCTGTAAGTTTCTCAGCAATAGGTCTGAACTCTTCTGGACTGAGATAGAAGTCGTGGTCTGTGTCTAAGGAGGAGAAAAGAAAAAGCCCCTCGGCGCCCAGAGTTCGGACACTCTCATCCTATTGGAAAGACATCGTGTTAGATTGATCCTTACTGTGATTTCACATGCTTGAGTGATTTTCAATGCAGCATCTAAAGTGGGACAGTGAGCCACGTATCTTCTCACATAATGAAAAAAGACAGAGACGGATGACAAAAAAGAAACTGCTGTATTTGCAGGATACTTTTGTTCTAAAGCACACTACAGTTTGTGCTCAACCTCAGCAGCCCTTGGATAAAGATCAGCCCTGAGGCCAAGGATTTCTAAGAGGTGCTGAAGTCAGACCACCCTTTCTCAGACAGATGCGTGCCTGCTAGCGCTTGTACAATGGAGGGAAAGGGGGAGGGGGGGCAAAAAAAAAACTATCCGGAGACCCTTTGTAGCCAAACAAGTAAGAATTGAACAAGAGCTTTACCATCTGGGACGCAGAGCCAACCCCACCCACTAATGCAACACCCTGCTGTGGAAAACTGCAGATGTGGTCTTATAGGCGACTGATGTTTGACAAATAATTTACCTAAACACAACCTTCTGGGAGAATAACACCGAAATCTAACAGCAAAATATTCTATAAAGTAATGTTATAATCTAATCATGGGTCTTATAATGTGCCAGAAGTCATTGCAAACTTTCTTTTAATACAGGTAGTGATTGTTAGTGCTTTCTTATAGTAAACTGGCGCTGATGAGCGCAGAGTTTAATGTCCTAATACGTGTTCATCTCATTCAGATGCTTTCAAGATAAAAAAAAAAAACTAGTAATTTAAGATCGCTAAATTTTGAGACGGGTGTAATATTATTACAGACGTGGCTCTCACATGACGCTTGAAGAGCTGGGAATCTTGGTAATACTTGATCCCAAGAGCGAGAAGAGGGACAGCACCGACTATCAGCAGGCTCCACATCCCTCTGGAGATCCAGGATCCAGAGCCCGGAGTGCGATGCCCATCTTGCGGCGAAGTTCTGCTCTCATTCTCTGCGATTCTTTTATTCACGTTTACGGCCATCCTCGACCTCCACCGAGGCTATTTAGACGAGGACATGGTCTTCGGATACCGTCCAAAACCGACAATAACCCACAGTCTAAACTCCTTAAAGTCTTCAGAATCTGCCGACAGTTCTGTTATCCTGCAGCCGAAGAAGGCGCCTCCTTTCCGCCCGGTACTGGCAACAGCTGTGAAACGTTAGCTACCAGCACAGATTTCTTATTACCCACATCTAATCTACAACCATATCTATGTTGCGGCGATGCGTCAAGCAAGCGGGTAAATAGTCAAGATAAACCGGATGTAGGCTAAAAAAAAAAAGCTTGCTCAGTTCTAGCTAGCGTTAGCGTTCCCTACGAGCGCATCAAGGAAAACACCACGTGTGGGCGGTCTCGAAAATATCCTTCAGTGTTAAGCCGCTTTTATATAACAAATACAAATTGCGTTTTGGTTTTGATATGTCTCAGGGAACTTTTTAAGAATGATTTGCGTACGGAGTACAAATCTAGTTAGTGTTAGCCATTGCGTTATGGTCTTATTTTGAAAACAGTGACCGGATGTGCAATTTTACATTCTTTTCAATTTGGTAGAAATACACTACTTGCACAGTACTGCTTTAAAGGGGAAGAGTTGTCTTGTTCACCCAAGGAATGTCTGCTAAAAAGCTTCAATTTTACGTTTTCTTGCCAAAGGGGTTTGTCATTAATTTTTTTTTCTAACTTCAGGTCTACCAATGGAAGTGAATGCTTTGTTTCTGCTTTAAAATATCTACAGTGTGGCCATGTTATAGTCCTGTAGTCACAATGTATATGATGAAATATATGATGAATAGTAGCTGCACACCTGGATTGAAACCGAAGAGGTGGCCATCATCTATATTGTGTTAGACCAATATGATGCCAGAGGAAACACAGTCAGTAGGTTCATAAATGTGACATTATCAACATTGAGACATGCACTCAAGGGCTCCAACTGAAGTACATTTTCTAACCCTGCAAATTCCAGCCTTTTTGGATTGTGACCCCTTTAAATGGTGTAATCTCTCATTTCAAGTTACAGCATGAGTGGATATTAACTGCATGTGGCTCCAAAAAACAGTTTCCCTTCTCAGATTATTTTCATTGATTTGAATGATTTTTTTGAGACCTGAAGAGGTAAAATCTAGCCCGGTTGCTCTAAATTACATCTCCCATTTTTTTCCATTCAAATAAAGTCAGAATAAAATGGCAATTTAGCTCGATTATCAGGCTGGGTATTTCACAAAAAGGGACAAAATTCAAAAATATACTCAACTTGTGTGACAGAAAATTGAGCTTTTTCTGCAATCATCTGGCAACTCCTTTGATTTGTTGCAAAGAAATACAGCTGTAACAGCTACTATCCATCCATCCATCCATTTTCCTCTGCTCATCCGGGACCGGGTTGTGGGGGCAGCAGTCTAAGCAAAGATGCCCAGACTTCCCTCTCTCCAGACACTTCCTCCAGCTCCTCCGGGGGAATGTCGAGCCAGCCGAGAGACATAGTCCCTCCAGCGTGTCCTGGGTCTTCCCAGGGGCCTCCTCCCGATGGGACATACCCAGAACACCTCCCTAGGAAGGCGCCCAGGAGGCACCCGAGCCACCTCAGCTGGCTCCTCTCTATGTGGAGGAGCAGTGGTTCTACTCTGAGCTCCTCACCCTATCTCTAAGGGTGCGCCCGGCCACCCTGCGGAGAAAGCTCATTTCGGCCGCCTGTATCCGGGATCTTGCCCTTTCGGTCATGACCCAAAGCTCATGCCCATAGGTGAGAGTCAGCTACTACTTTATTTATAATTTATTATCATTCCACAGCTATACACATACTCATTTATATCGGTACATGTTGCATTACATTACTCAGTATAAGGTAAGACTAAGTTTAGTCTAACAGACAGTTATTTCATAGCCGGCTGCCACAAAGCATTTAAAAATGCACCTGGCAGCAGTGGGAAATAACAGAACAATGATCCATTTTGTTGACATGCCTGTTACTGAGTTAACCAGTCCATGGGTTAAAAGTGGGCAGCTCTCAGTCCATGTCCTCTTCCACAGGCTGTGTCTTCACTTCAACAATTTTTGGAGGGATGTAGGAGCCCATACCTGCTGCTTTCTCTGCCTCTGCTTGGGTATAAGGTTCTTCTCTGAGCTTTTTTAACCTGGATGGAGAAAGAAGGGGTAAGCTATGAAACTCACACAGCTACTTCACCAAACTGTACAGGATTGGATTTAAGTAATTATTTTAATGATGTTTAAATCAAAATATGTGACTGCAGATAATGATACTATACCGTTTTTTGTGCACTTTACTTTTGAAGTGCTCTTTCAAGGATCTCATATCCACAAAATATCTCCTGCAACACATGAAGTGGCACGTGTTAAAAAGCTTACTCTGACATATTCTTGCCTCTATATAACAAAAGGGATACATATATTTCTACTACACATTTTTTCTCCTGGCTTTCCTCAAAAAGTGTGCCTTATTCATGTCAAATACAGCATTCTTTACACCTTCTGCAAATCATTCAAATGTAATAAGAAGTAACTGTTCACAACTCTTAACACGAGGGGGTCACAAGTAAACACTGACTCATTTCAAGGATCCATAAGCCAAAAAGGTGAGGAATGAAGAAGCTGACCGTTTAAGTTAAGTGATTTGATAATATTTCTAGCAAGAACTGAGAATATTCCCTGTGCTCCAGCTTCTTAGTTGTGAAGATTTGCCTTTTTTTGTCTTATGTGACAGCAAACATAATATTTTGAGGAATAAGAACTTTTGGCCAAATAACTTATTAAACTGAGAAAATAACATAGGTAATTTTGTTGCAACTCTATGTCACAGTCCATTATAGAGATGAACACTTCCTAACACAAGTACATATGCAGCAAATTCAGCTTATCTAGATTTTGTAATGATGTACAAATTCCAGTATTAGTGTCATGACATATCCTGCAGCATTTGCTGTTACTCCACTCAGATAAAAAGCAGTGTGATACTTATATTTGCAATTTACTCCTTGAGAATCCTAATTTAATCTGAAAAGCATGCCTGTTGACTCTCTGTTTAGACCAACATGGGAAGAACTTACGCGCAGTGTAAGCAGTAGTGTTGTGCACATCCTGTCACGTCGTAGTCCACCTCCTGATGCAGCAGCTTGGCTGCTGTCTCAGGCTTCATGTCTGAATGGATCTGGTCCAAATCTTTGGTCCTTCGCTTTGTCTTCCATGTCTTTGCAATGTGTTTCTTCTTGTCACTCTTGTGGTTTCCTGTTTGTTTGGACTTCGCCATGTTAGATCCTACAGGACTAGAGGAAAGACCTGCTGTCAGTCTGTGAAGATCAACAAATTGAAGTTATTTGTAAGAGAATATCTGGAGAACATTGAATTCTACTTCACTGCTACTCTCTGTTGGGTTCATTAGTGACAGGATCGCTCAACAAACTGCGACAAAATCTGTGGTTAGCTTCGTATTAAACGTGTTTTACAAAAGTAGCAAGAGTTCACATACCAACCTAAATTTTTTTTAACGAGTTGACAATTTTGAGTCACTGCCACAAACTCGGATCTTACAGGGTAACAGACCGGTGACCAGCCGAATTTCTCAGCTCAATGCAATCTGTGATATAACAATTTTACTAATAAAAGACCTTCATAGCTCCATTTTAAGATATTGCTTACCTTCAACACATGTGACCGAGAGTTGAATTTACTTCCGGGTTACACAAAGTTAGGTAAGTAAACATGCCTGCCTGTAGGGGGCGCCAAGTGCCACTCTTTGGGAAAAACAGTGGTGCCTGGCATGAGCCTACTGATGATGTTACTATGCGGTATGTTAATAATAAAATCAAACCGCAACATACAGAAAGTGACATGGTTACTTTTTGCTACTGGTTTTACTGCTAGAAGTATTCATATTAGTAGCTTTACCTAAGTAAAATGACTAATATTACACAAATGTTCTATTACAAGTAAAAGTTCTGTATTGAAAATGTTACCTCAGTCAGGCCTATAAGTATTATCAGAAAAAAGCTCTTATAGTAGGCTATTAACATAAAAGTAGGCAACTCAATGGAGAAACATACACCAGTGGCTGATATGCTGTTATACAACTATAAATGTATAATTAATTTATTATTGCTCATGCATTAGTGTGTCAGTGCAATTTACTGTTGTAGTTGATTAGATTAATATATATAGAACTGCACCCAATTGTTTCCCCTATTTCTTGGTTATCTGATTTGATGATAGTTTGGTTTGTAAAATTTCAGAAAATAGTGAGAAATGCCATCACAATTACCCAAAGCACAAAGTAACATCTTCACACTTTTTGTTTTGTCCAACAAACAGTCCAAAGCACAGAATCATGAAAATAAATTAGAACAATGATATTTTCTTTAAAATGACAACAGTTGAATTGTGTTTTCTTTAAATTATTCAAGAGCAGTTTGCTTCATGCAATGTCATTTTCAAATCTCTAGCTAACGTGTTACCTTTCCGTGCTCTTCGTAAATTTCTATTACCTCGATTGAAGTGTTATTGGTCAGAAATAATAGGCTAATAGACTGTAGAACCGCGGGCATTAGTTAGGTAATCTATTAGTTGATCCACAGAAAATTAATTAGCAACTATTTTGAAAAGCGAATAATCGTTTTAGTCATGTGTAAGCAAAAATGCCAACATTTGCTGGCTTCTCAGCTGTGAGCATTTAATGTTTTTCTTTCAGTGAAATGAATAGGCCTATAGGCTATTTGAAGTTTGGTCTGACAAAATTATGCATTTGACGTAATCAACTTAGGATCGTGTAAATATTCTCAGGCATTTGAAACATTTCTTAATCCTGTAAAGCCTGACACATAAAAAAAAAAAATATCCAGAACATTAGAACTGAGATGTTTATTAAACATTTTAACACCCATCAAGATTCACGATTAAAGATTTTTATTTCCCATTTATGCATAGACAGACAGTCCAGGCATATAGGAATAAATGTGCCATATTATTGTGTTTATTTATTTGTTTGTTTTGTATCACATTTGATACATCAGGCATTTTGGCAACTTTTTTTGCTCGCGTAGCAAATAAGATACAAATGGTTTTATATGGTTAAAATTGTTTTTCACACACTGTTGATTGATTAGTCACGGCAAATGAGTGGATCTGTTGTAGTCTTAATATTCTTAATCCTCGTACTAACAGATTTAATGCCATTTAATGTTGTTTTCTAAGTTGTATTTTTTGTTTGAATATTTGTTTATAGGGACACATGTGGTATATAGCATGTAGCAATATAAAATCGCACGGCATTTATCTCATAGCCTAAGTTCATTTGCAGTGCCTGTGCCTAACTGACCTATAACACAACATAATAACATCATAATACACAAACATATCGCTCACAATAAAAAAAATACCTATCTCAACATGTCGCCAAATTCCCCCTTTTGTCAGTTGCACTTCCCCCAGAAGTGCAACTGACAAAAGGAGAAATTTAAATATTCCTACGGCACATGAAGGCGGCATCAGACTGCACTGCATACGCGCCGTGGCGGAGAGCGAAGATGGCGGAGAATAATGTCGAACCAGAGCACGAATGGAGCGAACGGGCCTTGGACACGGCCGAGGATACTCTGGTTGCAATTGAAACCCTGCTGGCCACGTTAAGAGCCTTCGAGGACGTACTCAGGCAACAAGAAATATGCATAGCATCTTCGATAGAGTATTGCGACAACTTCTGTCAGGTAGTGTAACGTTATTGCTACATGCAACATCGAAGCCATCGTTAGCCTAACGTTAGCTCAGCCAGGACTGTTTTTCTCACAGCCTGCAGGCTAGTCTGCGATGGCTGGTGGCCCGATAACGTTAGCTACATGGCCAAGTGTATGGTGGGTGTATTATCAGAGAGCAGCTGCACGGCATATACATTTGTTCATATTCATTGGTGCATATAATTTCTCGCCAAAATAATTGGGCCAGTTGCACTGGCTGCTGAGTGATATGTTCCGTGTTTAGTGCTTGAAGTTGTACAGTACGCTCGCCTGACTTGGAAAGGTGCAGCTAGCTTCGTCTTATTTTGTAATACGCAAAAGAGGGAACCTATAGCAGATGTTTACATACAGAGGACACTCATGGTTGACACATTGTGCATAATTAGATATGTGGGGCGGGGCGGTGCCGCGGTGCGTTTATCCATAATATCTAGCTAGTTGGGACGTATAGCGAATGCAAAATCGCATTTTGGACGTTTGCAAGAGTTTCCTATCTAGTACCTGCCATATATGGTTTTCAGCTTTGCTTATAGTGCCACAGATTGTACAATTCAAATAGGCAGGCAGTAATGTGGATCTGCGATGCTGTAATTTATTTCTCAGTACAGTGGCGGTACACTGTTTCTTCAGTGCACTCATTCCCAGTATAATAGATTCCCGAGTACAGTTTAAACACAAGAATACCACTTGTATTAGAGGAACATACTGGGGTTAGTCACCTTGGTTTCTACTGTCCAAAGTCCAGTTTTGGGGAAATAACGTTGAGAGTTTTGCAAGCTACCAATTGCTTCAGACCTGACGAGGTTGAACTTCAAAGCTGCTCTATGGAAATCTGTAAAGTTCTTTAAAAATATAGTTCAAACTACTTTGCAAAAAGAAAATGTACATATGATACAATATAAAATTGTATATCTGATTACCTGAGACCTAAACCTGTCCTAAATAAAACAATCCTCTCTGGGCTTTTCCAAGGACAGAATTGCCAGGAATGTTATATTTTTGTTGTAAACAAATCAGGATTTTGGTTTATTTGACTACACATAAAACAGTAAAGAAAATATTTTTAACTTGCACCTTTTTAGACAGGTTGACAGACTTGGGCTTTGGTCTAAAAAGTGGGCATAAAAAAATTGTTCATTTCCTTTTGTGGCTCCAAATTGTTTGTAGTTTAAGTAGTGAACTACACAAAAATGGTAAAAAATAATTTTAAGTAGTTGAATCACTGTACAGGTATGAATGTAGTTGAACTGCAAGCAAACTACTGCCCAACATTGTTTAAGTCCCTGCTTTAGAAACCCCAAACCAACTATTACTTACACTTTTATGATTTGAGTGACCACATGATTTTTCCTCACAGAGACATGGTTACCATCCAGAGGAGAATAATTCATTAGCCAATTTTAGGTACAGCATGTACCTTTTTTTTTTTTTTTTTTTTTCACATGGGAGCGGAGGGGTGCAGTTGTTGTGAATCACTGAAATCAATGTGCAATAATTAGTTTACACATGGGCACACAAAACATCATATGGAAGCAGCTCATGAGCTATGATTTCTGAGAGCAGGTAAAGTCAGTCTGTGCGCTGCCGTTATGAGGTAGACTTTGATCCACTGCGGGGGTGTGTGATACTGTAGCTATTTGATGCTTCTTGGGGCAATAAGGTGAAAATATTTTTAAATTCATGGATAAAGTTAGAGTGTTTCAATGCACCATCGCCCCCTTCAAACTGTTATTTAACCTTCCAGCTTTCACGCACTGGTATACCTACCAGAAGTTTGATGTTACAAGATGGAAACTTCCAACAGAATGTGGAACTTGGCAAAAGATTAAAAGCAGACTGAAACAGTATAACTAAAATGAAATAATATAATATAATTAGGTACTCGACTCTGGTTTGAAAATGATCTGAACTATGAACACTAGTTAATGGTGGAAAGTGGTACAGCTATATGAGCAGTAGCACCTGCAACCTCAATACTATAAGGTCCGTGCGCATCTTTGCTCAAGTATTAGCCCACAGTGTCTGGCGCTCATTGCATGATCAACATATAGTATGTAGTTTCAAATGTATGGCCCGATCTAATATGATACCACACACCCAACAGTGGATCATATTATTTCTGCTTCCTAATGTGAGCAATGTTATAACGAGAAAGGCTTCTCATTATACCAAGATACTAATCAAGCATTTAGGAGAGTCGAATGTTGCCTAAACGATTATGGTATGGGCAATGTGTACACAATCCCACCCCTAACATATATACTTGATAATATAGACATTTTTTGCATTGCAGTTGCCTTTCAGTTTCATTCGGAAGTGGTCCAGATGTAATTAGTACACTGATGTAGGTCTCCAGAGCGGAGACCTTATTCTTAGCTCCCTCTGAGAGTGTACCTTATTTTTGGACTGAGGGGAATAATTTTAGTGAGATTGTAAACACCAGCAAGCTTCCTGTTGTCTGACAAATAGGACCCCTGGGATGTTGATAATGCTACGATGATATAATGTATATGCGTGTCAGCTACACACAGGTAACACAATGGTTAGTATGATACACATTGACTCTTCTATGCCTGGGGAGAGTTAAGATAATATTTAACAACAAACAACACTGTACGCTCTGTTGAAGGTCAGGAATGGCTCAGAGAATACAAACCTTTGAGATTTGTGTAATGATACATTATCAGTAACATTGTTTTTGTTTGCTGATAAGGTAATTCAGAGAATTGCATTTTTTTCCGTTTGGAATTTTGTTGAGTGACATAAAGGAATTAAACTTGCATTAACCACAAAAACATATTTGGGTGACACATCTTTGTAGTGGTAAAAGCACTGAAAGTAAAAGTATGGCAAAGTCTTGTATAAAGGTATCGCAGTATATTGTGTGTGAGGTTTTTATTGCATGTCGGCTCACTACTGATGGCTCAGCACTGTCATATGCTGTACAGTCAAGTCCCCACAGGCCCAATCAGGAGCACCTCACACCAGACAATGTGTCAGCTGGGATCAGTCGGCTACTGGCAGCTCCCCCCAGGAGGAAAACCCCTGTTCTTCCTGACAAATATGTCTCTTCTCTGACCTCATCTTCACATTATGGGTTCTGAAAGTGTTTAGAGCCAGTTTTCATAACCATTTTTCTTGGTTGTTTACTTTTTGTCATTTGTGTTTATAGGCGCTGATGTACTATGCTGGGAGCAGGAACTCCATGGAGCATGGTCTTCCTCTACTGGAGGTCTACTGTCTGTCCATAAACTGCTTTTCAGCAGCCCGATCCCACCTCACTGCAGAGTCTGACAAAGTTGCCCTTGTTCTGAAGAGACTAGCACTGTGAGTACTGAGAAACATTCCAGCAAAAATGTATGATACTTTACTGAATCATACTTGAGGTGGTCCCAAAGAGACCTCTCAGGGCCTGTGCACACAAGCACAAAAATCTGAGATTTGTCTGTGATGAAGGTATGTGTTTTAAGTCTTGCCTACACACTGTGCAGTTTGCATTGTGTTGCACTTTCATTAGTCACTATGTACAAGTGAAAGAGTAAGATTCTTCAGTTATTTGTGAAAACCTTAATAGCCAAGGGCACAACAATCAAAATCAAAAAAGGGTCTTGGTACTCTGAAAAATTCCGCAACATTGACACAAAAAAATGACATGACTGATAAGGGCCACAGATGTTTCAGCGTATGTGCCTTCTCCACTGTAGTCAACTTACAAAGCAACTCGGGCCCCTGTACTCACCTGGTGTGATCAGTACAGGTGAAAGTGATAGTCCTTAAGCACTTTCAGACCGGAGAAACTTTTTCATAGGCTTTAGAACTATTGGGGAAAGTACCCCCTGTTTTGTCTGCACCAGAGACTGAGAACAATAATAATTCTTAGAACACCATTTTGAAGGACTTTTTTTATCTCCTACTTCAGGCAGGATAGTTACTCTCCAATAGACACCATGTGTTACGTACATGTACACGTACAAACAGAAAAAAGCCTGTGTCTAATTCCTGGGGGAGCTCACCAGTGGCGTAGTCCCTAGAACCAAGTCTCTAAAACCATTTGGTCCAAAGGCACCTCTTAATAGCCCGACAGCACACACACACCTATAGTTCTGACATTGCTTAATGTCATCTTAATTTAGGGATTTGACATAAGCTATACAGTAAAAGGTTGACAGTTCTTTCCTTTTTCTTAGATATCAGTATGCCCTCGTCATACACCTGACTGGATGAATGCACAGTAACATGCTTTTTCAAGGTTTACAAACAGGATCGTTGTTTTGAAAATGTTTTTCAAACTGTCTCCCCAGTCTTAAAATGTGATGGAAAAACATGCTATGCAGTTGCAAAATCATGCAATGTGCAACAGTAACATCTGGCTGGAGTCGTTCATAAGGTTTGAGAGAAAATGACATGACCTCCTGAACTACTACCTGTAGTTTGCCAGTTTGGCTCTTATAAAAAATTAACCTTCAAATTAAGATTCAAAATGTGTTCTTGTTAAGATGTATTCAGCAAGGTGTCCGATTTTATCTTGCATCAAAAGATACCTTGTAATAGTCATTTTATGTTTGATTTCAAGGGGCTTTTTTCTAAAAGAACAGTTTTATTTAAATAGAGTCAAGTTAACCTGACTACCTGAAATCAATATCACCTTTAAATGTCAGTTTAGCTCTGTAACAATAAATGTTGGCATCTTCTTAAATACACTTGTGCTCAGGATTCTCTGTTCCATAAGTGAACAGCATGTTAATTATTTGCACTTGCATATAAAAGGAAAATCCTATGGTTAAGGAGAATATTAAGGTAAAATGTTTTGTTTCACATCTCTTGCTTGTAGTAAAGAAAGCTATGTAAAATATAATGTCAGTGTATAAGCTGGTAACATTTCTCAGGCACACCTCCATTCTACAGAATCAGTAGAACCAGCTAGTCAAGAACCTCTGTGACTCACCCATGAAGCCAGTAAAACAACAGGTTGAGTCACATAGGCAGGTACGGTTAACGCCAATTCAGACAAAGCATGCATTTAGGCACGTTTATCACGCGACAGATCTCCATTCTATGAAATGTCTCTCCAACCCATGTGTACTGCGCATCACCTGTATATGATTCAGGTCTAATTTCTCTGGCACATTGAGTGCAGCGTAATCTCTGCACACTGCTGTTTAAATCACCCAAGTCCTCAGTTATTTTCTGTTACAAACTTTGCTCTTTTTATTTTTTATTTTTACTGGTGTCGGTTATGATTACATAAGACCTAATGAAACTTATTGTTGTCCAGAACATTTCTGCTGTCGGTCGCCCTGGTGAAGACTGTTCATCCTCTGTCCTTGCAGCTCATCAAGAGCTGATGACTGACAGCTTCTCTGACACTGAACATGTCTCACTTTCAGTCAAGCTGTGGTAATGTTGTTGAGTGAAGGACCAACCTGGAAACTGTTGGGGACTTTCTACAAAAAAAAAAAAAAAACACTTGTCACAAAAAAAAAATAAAATTCCAACCCCAAACCGAAAAAAGTTGGGACAGAATGTAAAATCAAAATTAAACCTGAAAATAGTGATTTGTAAATAATCTGTGTCCTGTATTATGTTGAAAACATTACAGCAGCCTAACTGGCCTTTATTAATCCATATACAGTGCCTATAAAAAGTATTCACTGCTGCCATGACTTAAATAAGGTCAGTTAAAGATTCAGAATATCTCTTTCAGGTTATTGCTGAGCCCACAGTTTGTCCAATGAAACACCTTCTATCTACTGTACAAATGTTCTTATGTCAGGAATGGGGGTTGTTAGTGTTTTCAACTAAACTAAGTCTTAAATGTGGTTTCTTTTAATGTTTGGATTGTAATAGTTAAATTCGGATTCTGGGAGTTGTACATGTTTTAGAGCCGTTTTAAAAAACATTATACCAGTGTTCATTCTATTTTCAAACAAACCTCTTTGACATGTTTACCCTATGGAGATGTGAAGTTGACTCCAAAAATGTAATGTAGAATTTTTTCTTGTACCATTAAACAGTCAGTTGTTGTTGTTGTTTCGAGGTTTTTGTTTTGTCAAATATAGAAGAGTCCACAATTATAATTAGTTGAAATAATTGTAATCTTGTTTTAATTTCTTACAGGAGCTGTTTTGAACTGTTGCTGTCTGTGCCTGAGAATGAAATCCCTTATGAAGCCTGGGTTCAATTCCACAACTCAGTTCAGGTAAAAGGACATGGGATCAAAACATTTTCTTCTGATGGGTTACAGGTTTAAATCCTGGAGAAGAACAGTGGCTATTTATGTTAACAGCTACTTCAACAAAAAATGTCATTCTGTTTTTGTGTGTTGGAGAGAATTTAGGAACTTGATTATTTGTGGCTCAGTTGGTGTTATCAGTGGCCTTCTGACATAAGTCTACTGAGGCCTCTGAAGAAATGCCCCAAGATGGCAGTGTTTTGTCTCTGTTTGCCCCTTGTTGAATGTAAACCACTAGTGTTTATAATCTCTCTCTTTTTCTCTGGAAGTGGGTAAAGTTAATGCTCATTCTTAAACTCTGGTGCTGAACGTTTGCTCCCTCATTCCAGTGGTGTATTGAAAAACATGGGAAAGCTGATCAGCCCGATCAATGTTATTTTAAGGCTTCAACCAGTACTGCTGAAGCAGCAAGAGAGTTAGAAAAAGACAGCTGAAGAGACAGGTGTAGGAGAAGAGGAGGACAGCAGCCAACATACTGTGGTGGGAGAGCCAGCAAGTGGAGCAGTGGCAGGTCAAATGAACAGCACACCACCACCAAGCACAGGGGCACTGCAGCAGTACTGTATTTAATAAATAAATTCATTAATTTATGAAAGTGGGTCAGCTACTGCCACAAGTAGAATCTAATTCTGTATAGATTATTGTAATTATAAGTAAATAAATAGTCAACTTTAAGGGTTAAAGGATCCAAAACTAGTAAAGTAGACTTTAAAACATTTGAATATGTAAAGGTTTTGTTTCCAGATAATGAAGATCTCAGTCTCATGGTGTGGCCGGTGTGACTATAGGCTGTGATGACTGTGATATGCTATGAAGAACTCATTACCATGCTGCAGTTAAACATAGTCTAATAAAGGTTTTGTAAAAAGTCATTCTCTTTGCTTTCTGATTGACTAACTCACTGTAACATATAAAGCATATGTCATATTTGCCTGGATTTTGTGCAAGAATTACATTGTTTGATGTCAGTACATCTAAGAAAATGTCTTATTTCTGTCAGCAAAGGAAAAGTAATTATAAACCAGGCATCTTGAGCTGGACTGTGATTAGGCTTTGTTTCCAGATATGAACAGTGGTGTTAAAAAGCCATATGTTTTGCTTTTTTGCAGACAAAAGTTATCAAATTGGGCCTACCAATTAAAGTCAAGTATGTAGTAATATGAACTAATGGCCTTTGAATAGTTCATTTGTAAAACTCATTAGCTCATGACATTATCACAGGACAGTAGCAGAAGAGCAGCGCTGCTCTCTTGAAGTTGTTGAACAAATAATTTTTGTTGTTTTTTTACTATATTTTTTGCGTTCATTGCAGAATGCTCATGAAACCTTGTTACAGTATGGAAGTACAGACCTCCAAGCATTACTCCAGATCACAGGAGAGGGAGGAGCGTGGAGCAACCCCGTCCTTAATTCTCTTCTCACTGGCCAGGTCACCAACCCAGAAGAAGGTATGGAAGTCCAGCTGACTTATCTAGGTTATGTTATTTAGAGATGGCAGTAGGCCTGCATAGTTAATCGTTTTTATATCGCAATCTTGATTCATACAGTCTAATTCTTACATGACAATGATTCTGTTGTGTTAGCTTTGAGAGCCACTGCATCAAAAACGCGCTCCCTTTTTGTTTCTTAAGCTGTATCAGCCAATGACAAGGCTGCATTACACCACATGAAAAACTACACCTAGCATCAGAAAGGTGTTTGTCTACCAGTTTTTACAGGCTAATGACAGCAGCTGTGCTATGACATCAGCAATATTGACTGTGTGGTGAGAAAGTTTCCCCTCTCTGTCACCATCAATGTTTTAACTCAAACACACACAGAAGAACATTTGCTTGAAGGGTTTAAACTTGTTTAGTGTAGTTTAGACAGACCCGTTTCAGTAACATTATATTGTTTGTTCTGTCTTTATAAAGACAACGAGTAACGCCAAAATAGATGTGGCAGTGCCAAGAGTTAGCTTTAGTGCTTATTTTCACATTGACTGGGCTGTGGTAGTTTGCAAGTCAGACTTTATTTGCATTCTGTCTCTAGTGGATGCATACATCAGCTTGGAGGGTGAGGGCTTCATGGAGATGCGAGTGAAACATCTGGAGAAGATGGGCGAAGCTGCCAAGGCCGTGGTGCTGGCCAAAGCTTGTACTGAATGCAGCTTTATTTCCAATCAAGGAACTTTTCGTCAAACATACGTCTCCCTGCTTTGTCACCTGCTGCCCAGTGAAGAAGCCATCATGGAGGTATTACCATTTGTTCACTAGATGTTCTATTGTTGGAATATTGCCGGTTTGATACACTTGTGCCCCATTGTCAATTTTGACAACTGTAATAAATAGTTATACAACAGCAGCAGTTCTCTCATGCACGCTGGTGCTGTTCTGAAACTTAGCATCACCAACACTCTGGCAAAGTGCATGTTTGTTAGACGGCAAGAATACATTCTGTTATATGATTAACTGAATGTAAATTTTGTTTAGAAGAAAACTGCACGGGGTACATTTTCTTTTGAATTTCACTTCAGGGTTTAATCCTAAAGGTTTGTCATGATTTTAAACAATCATTTAATTTGTAATTAATAATTTGATACTCCCTGCAGCCATTGTGGCATAACACTTATGGTTATTTGGCTCATGCAAGGTTTGGCCATGCAGCTAGACTAAATGTCAGTTGTGTTGGGGGAAAAAATGTTAAGCTGCTCTTTTCTCCTGAATTCTGCATAAAGCCGAGACAGCAAATATGAAATTGCACTTGCAAATGCTTTTTTAAATATCAGTTTGTGACTTATAGTCAGACATGAGTGAGTGATGCTGGTGTTTGAAATAATGCTACTAAACTTGTTTGTAAGCTTGGCTGCTGGTGCTAATTCTAGCAGCTTTCTGGCAATGTCAGCTCTCCAAATGGTGGAAAAAAAATTGTGTGTGGATTTTTAAATTTGTTAAATTTTTTTTTTATTATTATTTTTGGGACCTTACACAGTCAGATTTGTAACAGATTACTATAGCCCAGTAAGGTGATTCTGCAGATAAGGGTTGACCCACATGCAGAGCAGATAACATTATTCATTAGTTTGTCAAAATTGCCTTGTAGAGTTTATCTGTCATGTTGCTGAGCATTTTATTTACTCCCTGAGCAGATATCCAGACTTGACTGTAAGGATGTACTGGAGATCACTTGTAATTTGGAGACAGAGGGGGAGGAGAATACAGCCTTCATCTTGTGTACAACTTTCCTGACTCAGCAGCTTCAGCAGCAGAGCCTTTACTGCTCCTGGTGAGTAGTTGATGTTAAGGGCCAAAGGCTTGGTGAACTGCATGTATGACTACAAAAGTCATCAGCACATCGCTCAAATGTAAAAGTGTTTTTCAGAAAGAGGAAGTTACTTAATTGTCTTGGATTTTTTTTTTTTCCCTCAAGGGAGTTGATTCTGTTGTGGAGTAAACTTCAGAAGAGGATCGACCCCTCATTGCTGTCTCTTCTGGACCGATGCCTTCAACTAGGTGCCATAGCCAAAACGGCCCACCATTTGCTTTACCTGGTCCGTGTGATTCAGACAGAGGTGAGCGTGAACAGCCACACTGTCCTCTTTTAATACTAGTTTAGAATTGGTGCACTGGTTACATCACGACACTTTTCAGCCAAGTAGTACCAGGTATTAAGGAGCCATAAGAACTGAAGTCAGGACATTCAAGAACTAAAAGTCTGTAAAATTTGTTTTATTATTTATGTTTCCACTGCAGCTGAAGAACTGTAACTATTAGGAGAATTTGCCTAATAACAAATTTAAAAATTATGCCATTAGCGGTCACACTGGGGCAGGGCTGGTGACAGTGGAGCAAAAGTAATTCAGGCTCTTACTCCTACAGTTGAAAGTCAGAGAAGTTTCCTGGAAAGATTCTTACACTGAAAATGGGCTGTGAGCTTAAAATATATATATATTTTGCAAGTTAAATGGTTACAGATAAGCTTAAAGTCCCTGCACACCCACGGGCCAGCCACACATCTGCATGCATATGTAATGTTTGACTTTTGACCAATGTCATACTTTATTCACAGTTTAATTGTAACACCAAGATTTAAAGACTTAAATCAGTGAAAGTTCATTCAGTATGAAGCCCAGTTGCAAGTGGCAACCCTGCTTTGTCACAGGCCATTTCCTGCTTAATTACAAAATGATGATATTGTGATAGTCATGATACCATGCTTTGTGCAGCTGTGATACAACTTTGCACTAAAGTACAGTGCCACACCAAGTTATGATGTTGGATGTGGTCAGTGGTTCAGGCTACTTATACCGTGTCTTTGTAAGTCACCTATTGAGGCTGTTACAGCTATGTTATTTCTCCTTCCAAAATCAAGTGTGGGGTTACTTTTAATAATGGAGCAAATTCACATCAGTGAGAAAAATTATCTCATTTTACGACTTCAGTCAATTTTGTGTTTTGAATTGCAGTCACATTTTACCACCAAGTTTGAGAATGTGATGAACCAAATGTAAGGCTTTTTTGGACACTGTTTAATAGTAGTAATGTATCTCTGTTTTTTTTTTTTGTTTGTTTGTTTGTTCCCCCCCCCCCTCCCCCCAGGCGGGGGGCCTAGGGGTACCGGCCTGAGAGAGAATACAGAAAAGGTGCTTCATGACTTACTGTCAGTCGGCAGAACTCGATTTGCCTTCAGTTGTTTCTGTAGTACTGAGGGCTACCTGCCTCAGTAGAACTTTGTGTCAAAGCACTTCAGCTTCCAAAGCAGGATGAATCAGAAACAAGGATCTCTGTCTGTAAGACAGTGTCTTGCCTTCTTCCAGATGATCTTGAAGTGTTGCGTGCCTGCCTACTCACAGAGTTTCTGCTTGGCCCCAGCCAGGAAGTCTTCAGCTGCCTCGAAGAGCTTTACTTGCGCCCAGATCAAAAGTATGACCAGGAAAATGAGATTATTCCCAACTCACTACGCTGTGAGTTGCTGCTAGCACTGAAAGCGTACTGGCCTTTTGACCCTGAATTCTGGGACTGGAAAACTCTCAAGTATCACTGCATCTCCCTTCTTGGGTTGATGCCAGAGTCAGAAGGGGAAGAGGATGAGATGGTAGACAAACAAGAGATGTTTAAACAACCTGAGCTACAGGGAATCACAGTGAAAGAATCTGAACATCAAAAGAGGTTCAATGGGAGTCTTTATGATCATGATGAGCAGGATAAAAAGCTGTCTTCCGACTTGCCAGAAATCCAAAGAGAATATGAGACAAAGAAACACAAGTTCAGCTGTCAGATTTGTAAAAGGTCGGTCACGGACACCCAAATCATTCACCACTCCAAAAGACATGCAGAGGACAACAGCCACCCCTGCCCTGTTTGCTTGGAAGCGTTTAAGAGCAGAAAGGATCTTGTTCCTCACATAAAACAGCACATTCAGAGTGAAACACATCCTAACCCAAACATTATAAAGACAGAGGATGTGCAGAAACAGATAGATGAGGATGATGAGATTGAACCAGGTGAGATTACTATCGACCCTTCCTTAATGCTGTATTACAAATCCACACATGATCCAGATGTGCTGCACCATATTGTGGAACAAGTCAAAACGGTGAAAGAGAAACATGCAGATGATGATGAGCATGTAACGTTCGATTACATTGACCAACACTTCCGACTGCAGAACCGGGAAGAGTATCCATGTCCAGGGACAGGGTGTACTCGGGTTTTTAAACATTCCAAGTACTTATATGTCCACTTAAAGTCAGAGCACAAAGGTGATGAGAATGTTAAACATTTTCATCAGATGAGAGACAAGCGGGAGAAATGTGTTTTTTGTCGACGCCATTTTGTTTCAGCTTACCATCACCGCAAACATAGAAGGATTCATTATGGTGATCACCCCTACATGTGTGTGGTTATAGGTTGTGGCGCTCAGTTTAGTACTTCCAATGAACTCGTCACGCACAAACAGACCCATGGCTATCAGCTCAACTACCAGTGTGAGCTCAAAGGCTGTTACATCACTTACTCTGACCTGGGACAAATCTACCATCATGAAGCACAACATTTCAGAGATGCTGCATTTTCCTGCTCTAGTGCTGAATGTAAGAAATTCTACTTGTCAAAAAAGGAATTTTTAAAGCATTTATCCACACACAACATCACCTTCTCTGAAGATGACTTTGAGGCTCAGAGGAAGGCAAAGAGGAAACTTTTTAAGACTGTTACTGAGGCGACGCCTCACCCTGATAACTCTGTACATCCAGAGACCGTAAATGTCCTAAACTCTTCCTCCATGAGTTGTGCCTCTTCTTTGCAAGAGTCTGACAACAAAGAGCCCAAAACAACAATGACCTTGGTGGCTGTGTGTTTTGATGGAAGTAAGTTCACCTGTGGTTTTGAGAAGTGTGGCATGACTTTCTCCAGAGCCAGAGATGTCCAGAGACATCTGAAATGTGCTCATCCTGAACACCTTAAACTGGAGAACAAAGAACACAAGCATGATAAAGAGCAGGGCTCAAAGTCCAAAGGGATACTAACTGAAACTGAACAAGACAATGACGAAAAGGGGAAAAATGAGCTCTCATCTCCATTTCAACCTGTGGAGGGTATCAAAGAGAGAAAGTCCTCTATTCATCACAAAAACAATGAAACAAACTCCTCAAGACTTCAAACAAAAAATGATGCTTTGAAAGAAATTCTTATTGGGCTCAGTAAACTGGACCTGAATTCCTCATCACCACACAGTGAGCCAAGTGAGCCTGCTCAGTCCAGCCCAGAGTCTAACGTATCACAAATCTCTCTTCACCAGGCAATTATGGCTAAGCCTCCGGTTGTATTGCTTCAAAAGAGGCCACCACATCTGTCTGAGGAAAGGGAAAGAACTGTCAAAACTGAAGAAGCATTAGCAGCTGAAGAAAAGGGGAGTGTTGAGTCATTAGGAGCAGCTAAGCCGTATATCTGTGAGATGAAAGGTTGTGGCTTTAGGACCGCGCAGAGTTACAGCTTACTGCGACATTATAATACCAAACACGGCCATACCATGGAACAGGCCAAGAGGTTGACTTCTTTGAAAACTACATCGTTTAAGCCTTACGTGTGCCAGCTTTGTTCTAAGAGTCACAGAGAAAAACAAGTGTTGAGGACCCACTATATTCAGGTACATAACATGAGTGAGAATTTTGTAGACAAAATAAGTTGTGGATCTGTAAAGTATGAGGGAAACACAGACACTGTGAAGCATACAAGTCAGCATTCTACGACACAAGATCTCAAAGTGAGGAGGAAAGAGATCCCTAAGTTGCAGCGCCAACATGACAAAAAAAACTCAACCATGACAACTGAAAATGGACAAAACTTTGACAATCCATCTCCATCTGAAGAGGAAAGGGAGGATGAAGCAGAGAGCAGAGAGGAAGGCAGTGAGCAAAAGACAGAAAATGAGGACAGAACCACACAGCAGGTCAGAACTACAAGACGTTTGGTAACCAAAAGTAATCTTTGCTATATACTGGATAAATTCAGTAAACCTTTTCATTGTGTAGCAAAAAACTGTGATGCAGCTTTTTCCACCCAGGGAGGCCTTGTGCGCCACCTACAGTTGGTACATCACTACAATCGCTCTCAGCTTTTGTTGGAAAAGGATTTTGATGTGCATCACAGTCCAGAAGTCCGAAAAGAGTCTACGAGGAAAAGGCCTCTTTCACACTCGGATGAACCGCAGCCCCAGTACAAATGTCACTTTGCCAACTGTAGTGCCTCCTACCATCTTAAAAGCAGCCTAGTGCGTCACACTCGTGATTACCACTCTCAGCCACCAGAGTTAACAAGATCCAAGTACGAAGGCTGCACAAGAGTGTTTGGCCATAATGATGGTTTCAAAAAACATACACTTTATAATCACTGTGAGTACTATGATTCACTGGTGGTACGGCTACAGAGCACTCACAAAAAGTCAGTTACCGGATGCCAAAAGAAGCTTATTGTCACACCACAGACTCTTCAGAAAGAAGAACCCAGTTCACCCACCCCACAGGCTGAGAGATCAAGTCCCAAGCCTGAAGTAATTTCTCAGTCAGAGGAAAAAGGCGAGCAGGGTCATGAGGAGACGAAAGCATTAGGAGAAAAAAAGAAAAGCAGGAGAAATTCATATGACAGTCTTGTCTTCAGGTCCCAAGAAGAAGCACTACAGATGTGCCAAGATCGCTGTCTGCGGGTGGCCTATCCATGCATGGTCCAGGACTGTGATTCTGTCGTCACATACTTGCATAGCTTGCAACGACACTATCTGAGGGTTCACCGCCTGCGTCGAGAAGATCTTGTTAAAAATGAAGATAAGCTTGTTTTTACAGCTGAGCGGCTGGAGGAACTAATTCAGAGGAAGTCAGCCAGGCCAACTGTTGCAGAAACGTGTGCCCCCAATGGGGTTTTCAAAATGGAGTATCAGGCAGAGCCAGAAAACACAGGGGGGCAGCCTGCACCCATGAGCCTGCACTCCATTAAGGCAGACTCTCAGGATGAGGATAATCATGATCCGCTAGGATTCCCAGAGGAGGAGCCACTGCCTGTTGAAAGAAATGGTGTGCTTGTTGGTGCAGATGAGGTACTGTATGGCGAGCCAAGCACTGGTGGGCACACTGAGGACTCAGCTGCAGCGACGCAGACCACTCAGAAACAAGAGGAGAGATTAACCTTGGATAAAATCAAACCTCTTCTCCGTCCACTCACTGTTGACCTTTCACCACCATGCTCACTGCACATTACTGCTGAAGAGGGCTTTCAAGATGCATCAGGAAACAAGGATAGTGGTAAAATGTTAAATGGGTCAGCGGCATTGCCTACCCCACTTGTTCGACAGCCGCTGAAAAGGAAAAATGAACTGTCTGAACAGCCATCAAACAAGAAAGACTCTCAGCCTTGTAGCCCTTCTCCACACCCTTTTGACATTGCCACCTATAAGCCTATGGGTTTTGAGTCTTCATTCCTGAAGTTCATACAAGACAGCACCCCAAATGAAAAAAACACTACGCCAGTGAAACGGCGAGACTCATTCAGACGCAGCTGTTCCGTCAAGGAGAACAACCAGTTGGGGATCTCTCTCACTCGCAGCAGACGTACTCATTCCCAACTGGTGAAGCCCCACGGTATGACTGGGGACTTCACATCAGTTCAAAACTTGAAGTCCATACTGGACAAAGCCCTGGCTGGGTGTGGGGATCTAGCCATTAAGCAGCTTCAGTACCTCAGACCTGTGGTGGTCCTGGAGAGACCTGTGTGCACCACCCTTCCTAACCTCTTCCCATCAGAGACAAACAGCAACCTGCTTCTTGGAAGTTAGTATAACTGAGCACCTTTATAACATGGCTATATGTCAAATAACGTAGTATATTCACAAGCTGTGTACCAGTACTTTTTATGTCCCACAATGATAGTATTGTTTTTATTTGTTGCCAAACTGATACATTATAGAAATTAGCATAAAATAAAACAAGTGTAAACATCAGGTCTAATTTTTTTTGTTTGTTTGTTTGTTTTAGACGGCAGTTATGAAGGCATTGAGATAACACCTGATAAATCATAATATGTGTATATACTGTAGTTCTTCAAGATAAATGTACAGATTTTCAGATAGTTAGAAATGGTCGGTAGTGTATTGCAAGACCCTTTCACTTGTGTGAAAATGTGACAGAAAACATTTCCTTACTACAAAGTTTTTGAGGAATATGTTGGATATTTTTCACCCCACTATAATAAATCAGTGTTGGGATGCAGTGGACAGATGTTGACAGACATGTATGTACCATTTTCTAATAAAATAAATGTAAGTGATGGAAAATAAGTGTAAATGATTATAAAGCTCTTTCCTTTCTGAATTGTGTAATTGGCTTTTATCTTATACATGGTATAATATAAAAAGGCACTATATTTTTCCGCTGCAGGCAGGCCCAAAATTCATCAGCTGTGCACTGCTGATGTTAGTTACAGCTATAAGCTAAGGAGACCTCTTCCACACCAGCGTAAGCTTTAATGGCTCAGTTCTGTGAGTGGGCGTGTGTGTGTATATACACACGCACACACACACACGTATTGTAGTTTGAGAGTTCCAGCTGAATTCGGTGAAACCTCTGCAGTAACTATGCGGCTATGCTCGGCAGACAGAAGCCTAGTGAGTTAGGGGAGAGGGTTGTCCTCTCCTCATCCTCAACTAGAGTATGCAAATCACAGTCATTAGCCCCGACCCATCAACGCCCTCCCACGCCAAAATTGTGACAGAGAAGTGAAAATGAAAGGGGAAAACCACCTTGGCATTGAAAAAGCATTGTTAACAAAAAAGTGTCATTTTCCCAGTATTAATATTTTTATATTAATAATATTCAAATATTCAAAAGTTTTTTTCTTTCTAAAAGCTTCAATCATAATGTTTGCGTTTTTTCTCAACTGCAACTTTTATTTTTCAGTGCCAAAGACTAAAGCCATCGATCTGACGCCATATTTCTCGGGTATTTTGTGTAAATGTGGTGTGGCATCGCCCCTTGCAGGTTTACATGTTTGTTGGAACAGTGTCTGTATTTTGCAATGCCAGACTTTAGGTGCCAAGACTAGGAAGTAGCAGAGACAATATTAAGGAATGCTGCATTATTTGTAGTTTCAGCACAACTCTTAAACAATAAGAAAAAAAAATTGTGGGGTATCTGGTCGCAGATGTTGGTGCTAACGTATTCCTCAGCTGCGGAACTAAAGTCATACTAGACGTTTCGGTGGGGCCAGAATTCGTGGCCGCACTTCATTGACTAGCTCGCATCTCACATGAATGGAGTGATGTTAGCTATTAGCTATCTCTACTTAGGAATGGAAACTGGATACTGAGGTTTCTATGTAAACGTTTTAGTCGGTGTCTGTCAATTTAAAGGAAGAGCCGTTTTGCCTCAATTCAGCTTTCAAGTGTTGTTTGTTTGTCTGTTTGTGTGTAGAGCGGGAGCTAAGTAGCTGCTAGCCTCAAGCTACCAGTCAGGCTAGCGTTAACGCTGCCGTTTCTTAGCCTGCCGAGCTAGACAGCTCTGCTCCAGCAACATAGACCAGAAACAGCAAAGATGGTTGAAACGCTATTTGAGCTTCCGGTCGAAAAACAGATATTTTATGCTGTTTTGGGATTTTCGTGGACAGTGTATCTATGGGAGGCATACCTGTCCTACAGACAGGTGAGTTAATTGTTAATAAGTGTTAGACTCTGAGGTTTTGCTTTGTAAATGCACCGTTACTTTACTTTCGATGGAAATGCTATTACACCCTAAAAATAATTGAAAAACGCTGACATTGGGTAACTTCAATGTTACGATATTCATACAAGGCTGTTTCATACGTAATGCAAAAGTTCATGGCCATGAAAAATATGATGTTATGTTAAGGGTGTGTAAACAAAGAATCTCTGATATATCTGAAATATGAAGCCAGGGCTAGTTCCCTATTTTAGCACCACGATGAACCTTAAATTAATTGGTCTAAGATTTACTTGGTACCTTTTCACTTCACAGAGGAGGATATACAGGTCAACAACACATGTGCCACAGGAGTTAGGAAAGATCATGGACTCTGAAACATTTGAGAAGTCACGTCTTTATCAACTAGATAAAAGCAACTTCAGCTTTTGGTCTGGACTCTATTCTGAGACTGAAGGGACGGTAAGAACAACAAATGCATGTATTGAGCATTATCCCTGTTAAATAATACATTTGAGCAAATAATTGTCAGCCATTTTACATCAAGCTTTTTTGACTATGTGGTAATATAAGTCAGTTGACTACAAGTGTAAAAGGGCCAGAGTTCAACTACTTTGTCTTTGTCATGTTCAGTCAACATAGAACAAGATAGAGAAATCATCATAAAGGAATTTTTTCCCCATGATGGTATAAGTGTTTCAAATATATACTTTTTTTTCAGCTGATCCTGCTCTTGGGTGGAATCCCGTTTCTGTGGGCCATCGCTGGAACTCTGACAGCTCGCTTTGGATTCAGTTCAGAGTATGAGATCACACAGTCTCTTGTGTTTCTGACACTTGCCACCCTGTTCAGTGCCTTAACTGGACTTCCCTGGAGTTTGTACAACACGTTTGTCATTGAGGAGAAGCATGGCTTTAATCAGCAGGTAACACTCACCCTTGGTAGGCCTGAAATTTGGCTTTTAATTGCTTGTAATTTCTATCTCCAGGAAGAACTGCAGCCGTCATCAGCTTGACTTCACGATGTCTTGTAGATCTCTCTTGTCCTGTAATCCAACATTGTTTATATTCATGTCTGATCTTCCCCTTAGACGTTTGGGTTCTTCCTCAAGGATGCTATAAAGAAGTTTGTTGTGACTCAGTGTATCCTGCTGCCTGTGACCTCACTGCTCTTGTACATCATCAAGATTGGTGGAGACTACTTTTTCATTTATGCCTGGCTCTTTACCCTGGCTGTTTCTCTGGTTAGTGCTGTGTTGAGTTTGCCAAATGTTAAACAATAGGTGAAGTTAGAAAAGGCATTTTTGTCAGATAAAGCAATATGTGTAGTTTGTTGTGATGAGGAAATAACTCAAAAGTAATACTTGGGTCAGTCTGTAAGTATTTATTGGCTGGGCGTTTGGTACTACCATTTCTTTGTAAGGCATCTCTTCTTCTCCTGTGTTCTCAGGTACTTGTAACCATCTATGCTGATTACATTGCTCCCCTGTTTGACAAGTTCACTCCATTGCCAGATGGAGAGCTAAAGACAGACATTGAGGCTATGGCCAAGAGTATTAGCTTTCCCCTCACCAAGGTTTATGTTGTAGAAGGTAAACTAGTAACTAAACCCAGCATGTCTGTACATGGATTTACATCCATATTTATTATAATTTTTTTTTTAAGATATGTTAAGCATTTCATTAGGTTGTTTGTAGATATACCACTTAATTGTCATGTTTTGCATGTTTTCAGGTTCCAAGCGATCATCGCACAGCAATGCATACTTTTATGGTTTCTTCAAGAATAAGCGCATTGTACTGTTTGATACTCTGCTGGAGGACTACTCACCTCTCAACAAGACTGGAGAGCCACAGCCCGAGCAGCCAGAAAGTGACGAGACACCCATTGAGTCAAAAGCCAAGCCAAAGGTCACATTACTATAAACTTCTTTTGAAAAAGTTCTTATTGCACTGATTCAAATAGCTTCCTTTTGGAATGGTTACAAAGTTGGTGGCCACAGGAAATAACACTTGGTGTCCTAGGAATTAGAGAAATTATTTAGCTGGGCTTTGTCATTTTGTAATATAGCAGCCAAATTCATGAGCATGGTGCAGCTTCTTGAACTTCTCCCTCTTTACTTGTTAAGTAAAAGTAGCCTCTGTAACATCTAATTTTGTCAACTGTTCTTTTCCCATATTCCTCTTAAAAGCACCTCATAATGAGTGAACAGGAAAGACTTAGATGCTTCACCTCAACAGCACAGTTAATTGGCAAACTGGCTCACTGTGATCCAGCTACTATCTATTTGGTTTTGTATTGCCTTTTTGTGTAATGCAATAGTATTGTTCTCTTGAAATATTTGCACAGATCAAGAAGCAAGGATGCAACAATCCAGAGATCCTTGCAGTGCTGGGTCATGAGCTAGGCCACTGGAAGCTTGGCCATACTGTCAAGAACATTGTCATCAGTCAGGTGATTAACTTTCTTTTGTTTTCTTGATTGTTTAGCTCATTTTTCTTTTCTAATTTCTGCACCAAAACTTTCAAGTTGACCTGATAACGTGATCAAATGTAGATATTTAGATGTTAAGTTGATATGCAAATAACATCTGCTGCCTCTGTTTTTTCTGTAGATGAATTCCTTCCTGTGCTTCTCCCTATTTGCTGTTCTGATTGGACGTAAAGAGCTGTTTGTGGCCTTTGGCTTCAATGACAGCCAGCCCACATTAATAGGCTTGATGATTATCTTCCAGTTCATCTTCTCCCCATACAATGAGGTGGGTATGAGCTTGATAAACTTAGTTTTTGATCTGTTCACTTATTGTGTCTGTTTCACAACATCATTATTTGTGCTTTTTATATATATATTTTACTGTTTGTTGCTTGTTAATACTGCTTATTTTGTTATATTACACAGCCTTATGCTGGTTTACTGTTTACTTGCCCCTTGCATGGGGACATGTCCATACACATTGAGAGGTGATGTACCAGAGCCAAATTCCTCATGTGTCTGACACACCTGGCCAATAAAGCAGATTCTGATTCTGATTTTGTCTTTACAGCTCCTGTCCTTCTGTCTGACAGTTCTGAGTCGCAGGTTTGAGTTTCAGGCAGATGCTTTTGCACGCAGTATGGGCAAAGCCTCTGAGCTCTACTCTGCCCTAATCAAGCTCAACAAGGACAACCTAGGTTTCCCTGTGGCTGACTGGTTGTTCTCTATGTGGCACTATTCTCATCCTCCTCTCCTGGAGCGCCTCAGAGCACTGGGCAACATCAAGCAAGACTGATGGAGCTGGAAGGGGGAGCAGTAACTGCTGTCTCCTCAGTGGGGCCTACGCAGACTACTCCTGACCCTGTGATGTACCCTGGTCTTTTTCTATCTGCCCCCCCTTTTCTTTTATCTTGTTTTAGACTTTTCTTCACTTGCCATACTGTTCATTTTGTTCCCTTTGAAACTTTGTTGTAAATAAAACCAAAACATATCAGTACAAGGCAGCCTAAATAGTAGTAAGCCTAAACTGAAGGCTCTGCTTTTTTTTTTTTTTTAAGAGACACCTAATATGCACTTGTGTGAGCAATACATCTGGGAAATGTGTGTTCTTAAAAACAGCCATTGTCAGAGCACAGGTCACATTTTGCATATTGACTTAGTTTTTGAAACTATAATTTTTTATTCTAAAGGGGAAGAGCAACAAAAACAGTTTGTCATTTAAAAAAAAGACTGTAATTACTTAGTTGCAGAACCATGTGGTCCTATTCAGGTATGGACATGGCATCCAACGGTTAACAAAATAAGAACGATTTTTAAAAGACAGCAGGCATAAATACGGTCTTGGTAGGTGGGCAGACTTCATACCAACTCATGACGATGCTTTTTGTAGCTACACACGCCAGAGTTTGATTTGTCCTTACAGCTGTTGCCTTTTTTTTTTTTTTTTTTTTTTTTTTTTTTTTTTTTTTTTTAAACAATATTCCATGTGAAACTAGGCATAAACTGAAATTCCCGGTTTTGTAAGAGGAACAACGTAGATGCTTTACTACAGTGAAAAAAGTGAGTGCCTCAATTGATCAGTTTTTGTTCACATAATGGGTATTTTATGAAGTGGGCAGTGCAGAAAGCTTAATTTGAATTTAGTTTACACTTGTGATTTTCATTTTTTACATTCATTGGAGGGGGGAGGGGTCTTGTTTTACTTTTCTTAAACCACTTGCTTGCAGACCAGGGTCCAGCCATACCTGTACATGTGTAACTTTGAGTAAAGTAATGATGTATGAAGTGAATTGTTAAAAATGTTGAATGTGGTTTGAAATGTTAAGTTGATCTGTTGTTGCTTAGTTTCTTCTAATGGAATTTGGTCAGAGTGAGCCCAGAGTTGCCTGACAAGGAAAGTATTTATAGGGCACTTGGGGATGGCATCTGCAAGGTTCCTTTCTCCAAATAAGTTGGTGTTTGGTCTGTTTAAGGAGGAGATTGTATACTTTCTTTGCAGCATTAAATAAAATCCTTCAAATCATTTGTTATTCTGGGAACATGTTTTATTATTTTTTTAAGTATCTTTCATTTTCATAAGCTATATTGCATTTTCTAACATTTATTTTGTGACACAGTGCCTGACATCTTTGACTTCCAGTCCTGCTGTGACAGCTTACAGCAAGTGATGTTTAATGCTCATAATTTGTCAATATGGCATATTGTTATAAACTAATAACTCGCATACAACATCTAATTGTTTTAAGTATTTTAACATTGTATGGTTCTGATGTTTTAAAATACAAGCATTTTTCTTTGAGGATTTTCCCCCCACAACTTTAAAACATTACAATACAAAAATAAAAATGAAGCAAAATGTGAATGTAAACAAATAATTGAATAAAAATATTCTATGATTATTTCATCATTAGTGTTGACAAACAAGGATAGATCATTTACAATTTTTACAACACAATTTTCGAATTCCCTAAACAAAACATAGTTAAAAATAATAACTGGGTACCAGAATATTTTTATCAATACATATAAAATTTGATTAATAATGCTATATAATTTATAAAGTAAAATATACCTGAAATGAAACGTCCATTATCAACGTCAGGTCAACACCTACGTAAGGAACGTGTGGTATCCCGGAAGTTACCTCGGAGTCCATTTGTGAGACTATACCATTGCTAAAAAAGGAACACGGTATTTTGCCTTATCACATTTTATAACTTTTAGCCTGTATCTAAATAAATTTACTAGTGAGTTGCAATGCAACATTATATAAGTATATGAATTATTTGATTCAATTTCTCATAATTTCTCTTCTCTCGTGTTGTCACCCCCTATCGTGCTGATAATGGCGCGTTCCTGTAATGTTTTTTTGTGGACAAGGGCAAACGTCTGCCGTCACTGTCAGTGTTATTTTCTCAACTGAAAAAACATGGCGAGGTTTTTGAGGTCTAACATCAGACGTTTTGTCACCTTACAGCTGCGAATGTCATCCGACCAGGTAAAATCCATTCTATAAACGCAGCGTTTTTAAACGGATTAGCTTAATAATTTTGCCTAACTGCAGTTTAACTTAATGTTATTTGACAAGTAGATAAAGAACTGCCAGTGGCATGATTGTAGACCAGAAGAATGTTATATAATGCAGCTTTAGGGCACGGATCAATGGAACAGATTTACAGCAATGTTTACTATAACTTTTTGTGGATTTACATTAATTATATCAGCTTTGTCTAGATAAAAAATCAGTAGGCCTAGCTACCTGTCTAACCATTTGACCAGAAAGTAAATAGTACCTGTGAATTGTTTTGTCTCTGTTTTGTCCTCTGTGGTCTTATTTGCATTGTTTTTTTTGCACAAGCAGTTTCTAGTCTGTCCTAAACACCTGTCTATTATCAACTGGCCACCAAAGAAGCCCTTTCTCCTCTTTTGTGAAGTAACCTGAATCTTGACTTTTAGAAAAGGGCCTTTTTCATAGGGCCAACTGACTCCACCATAATGTCACATGAACAAGTCTTGATAACAAAACCTAAAGGAACAACTAAAGCAGAGCCCTAACAATGCTCTAATTTGTTGCTGAATGTTTATAATGAGTATATTCTCACTGGACTGCTCCCTTGCCCTGTCTCAGTTGGGTGAGCTTGGTAAAGGTGCAGGAAAAGGTGGTGGAGGTGGAGGCTCCATCAGAGAAGCAGGTGGAGCCATGGGAAAGAGGGGGGCCACTGAAGAGGAGAAGTACTTCAAGTATGTATTTCTTTCTTTTAGCAACCAAATGTGGACATAGAGTGTTGGTTAACTTTGTTTCTGTGTGTGTCTTTGTCCATTTGGTCTCTTCCATTTCTGTTTTTCCCCTACTGTTCATTCTTTCTTTTCTCTGTTGTCACCTGCTGCCATACCTGTCCATCTGCACAAAAGGCGTAAGGAGCAGGAGCAGCTGGCTGTATTGAAACAACACCACCAGGATGAAATTGAACACCACAAAAAGGAGATTGAACGTCTGCTGCACGAGATTGACCGCCACAAGGGAAAGATTAGGAAGTTGAAGCATGATGACTGAGTGAAACCTTCCTAAAGTTAACGTTTTCTCATCGTCCCAACCAGACAGCTTTAATAATTACTCCAATTGATGGTTGATTGTTCTGTAGATGCTTGAAGGTTATTAAATCCATTTATAAAATGATTATTGTTTCTATTGCATGCTGTTACATAAGTTGTACAACTGTTTCAACCTTTTCCTATTATGTTTTTGTACTCAGTGTTACAGACAACAACAGCAGAAACTAAGTAGAAAAACCTAATTATTTTTATTGCTTTTTATGAAACTTCAACTTTTATTCTTGTCTAAGGTATAAATAAAATTGTAATGTAAATGGCATTAGTAGGTCTATCTTTTAGTTATGTAACAATTAGCCTTTAACGGAAAACTCAACAGCCTAATTTTGATCACTTAATTGTTAAGTGATTTGTAAAAAAAAATAGCCAATTTTCATCTTTTGAAATGTGAGTGTTTGTTGCCTTTTACAGTTTTATGTAAGCACACATTAAATATCTTGAAGTTTTGAACTTCTAGACATCTTTCAAATGACGCGAGAGCCTATTAACAATCACGCATCAAAAATTTAAAAGATAAAAAGGTTATCAGTTCTAAACCGCTTCAAATTTACACGCAAACAAAAAACAAAAATAAACCAGCGCCCATACGACAAAAACTGCTTTGCAGGGTTTTCTGCCTTTTACAGTTTTATGTAAGCACACATTAAATATCTTGAAGTTTTGAACTGTTCTGACAAAACAAGCAATCTGGGAAAACATTGTCTTAGGTTCTGGAAACGTTTGATGAACATTTTTCGCAAGTTTATAACATTTTATAGACAAAACAGTTAATATATTATGAAACTAATACTTGTTAGTTTCAGCCCTGTGTATCATTTCATGAAAAAGTAAGAATACAGCCTCAGAAGGAACTTGATCATGAAAATAAGTGGAAAACAGACATGAGGAAAATATATAAATAGTACTATAGTATTAATAGTATTAATATAAATCCCAAACTAACTACTCAAACGGTGGCAATGTAACATCTGTCTGCAACCACGAGAAAGAAATACATGTCGTCACTTCCGTCTGCCCCTGCCTTTTACCACGAGCAACCCCGTGCCGTCTTTCTTTTCGCACATCATGGCGGACCGGTTCAATAAGGTGGGTAACTTCTCTGAAATCATGATAGCTTTTTTTGGTTATTTAGACTAAGTAAAATATTGGCTTTTACGTTTAACCTGCGGGTTGTAATAATGGGAAGACCTGGTGTGATGGTTGCTTTGCTCAGTGTGTCCTTTAAGATGACTTTACAGCCTGTTTGCGACGGGTGGCTCTTAGCTAGGTGGACATGCCGTTATCATGGCAGCTTCCCTAATGAGTCAATGCTGTTAGGTTGCTAGCTAGCATATAACTTGTGTCCCGATTTTATATAGATCCGAGCAACGGACTTGCAACGTAACTGTAATTTAATAGATGCATGTGGTTTGTTTAAATTGTTACTGTTATGCCTTTATACTTACCCACGTTGTTCAAATCAGTCGACGTGACAGCGTTCTTTAATGTTGATGCTAAGCTAACTTTACGTCTGAATCGGTAAACTACATTATTAACGTTAACTTGAGTGGCCATGTGCTAGTTGGCAAGGCTAAATGGAGGCAATATTGTTTCTCAAAGTAATCAAATTTGATATAAGCATCGATGTTGTATTTTTCCCTTGGGAGTCAAGTTATTCTTGACAAGATGCTTGACAGGCAGCTATTACTAAAATGTGAAATCACACTGAGTTGATTACGGTACTCGAGAAGGTGTTAGGAAGTCTAGTGTTGGTTTATGTACTATAAATAAAACGGCGGTATCCTTTTCCAACTTTCAAACTTGCAGGTTCTGCTCCTTGATGGCAGGGGCCATCTACTTGGCCGGCTTGCTGCCCTTGTTGCTAAACAGGTTCTGCTGGGTAAGTTTATATAAAAAGGTTAAGATGTAATATGTGAATGTTTTTGGCACCGCATACGACAGCTATGTTAAAATACTGAACTGTAGAGTCAAAAGTTGCAAAGTTTTCTTCTATCTGTCATTGATGATTTATTATCTACCTTGCTTGAGTTTAACGACAATGAGAAAACTCACATGCACTACCATCTGAGACAGAATGCAGGTTAGAATGCCTGAATTATTGGGGCTAAATGCCAAGCTAATGTAGTCATTTTCTCGTAGGACACAAAGTGGTGGTGGTGAGATGTGAGGGCATCAACATCTCTGGCAACTTCTACCGCAACAAACGTAAGTAGTGTGTCTGTTCACATTAAGCTGTTTTCATGCAACCTTTTTTGACATGCTTGTTGTCAATGATGTTTTACTACTTTCTTTTGAGTTTCAATGACCATGAGATTACCTTACATGCACTACCATCTGAGGCATCAGCATTACATACTAAAGTAATGGGTGCTATTGCTTCGTGTTCAAGTATTTGGACCTTGCTTAAAATTTCTGTTAATGCGGCTTTCTACAGTGAAGTACCTGGCTTTCCTGCGAAAGAGGATGAACACCAACCCCTCTCGTGGACCATACCATTTCAGAGCTCCTAGCAAGATCTTCTGGAGGACCGTCAGAGGTGACATTACTACAGGAACTTTATTTTTGGAGAATGAAATTATTTCAACACAGATGAAAGAGTCTTACACTGGAAATGTGCAAAAACATGGACACATTATGATGTAGTGTAAATGTAACTGATAAATTATCACATTGAAATGTTACACAGCAGTCTGTCTATCAATCAGTCATGTTTGCAAATGTAGGCAGCATGTGGAACATGTTGGTTATTTAATTGAGACATGCAGTATTTATTTCTTCAGTAACAAAAAAAAGTGGTTTGTTTGAATCTGGTTGAGATACCCTATTGATCCTGTTGTGTCCTTAATCTATGAATCATAAGTACCTAACAAAGATCCAGTCCCGAATCAGAGTACTGAGATTCACTTGCATCTTCTTAGTTTTAGTTGACATCTTGTATGTATGATGTTTGCATTGGTTTGCCACAGCACAAGTTGATCCTTGCTTGACAATGATGAGCTCTTTATCCCGAAGCTGATCATCTATTGATGAAACATACTTTTACGGATCTGATTGCTGAGTTGAGCGGGGATGTACATTTGTGCTTAAAAATGATAGATCTGCAGTGTTTGCTCCTAGAAAATCTGTTGATCTTAAAATAATTTTCTTTGCTAACCAGGCATGCTGCCCCACAAAACCAAGAGGGGTCAGGCTGCTCTGGAGAGGCTGAAGGTGTTTGACGGTATCCCCCCACCCTATGACAAGGTGATGAATTTCTAACGGCGAAGGGCCACCTAACATTGTGGCTTTAACTCTGCTGTCTGTGATGCCATCCTTATAACCCTTACCTACCTTGGTTGAATTCTTCTTGAAAAGAAACTTTGTCTGAGATATGCAGTGCTATCAGTGTGTGTATGTTCTGTTTTCTTCTTTATCTGACTTTGGCTTTTGTTCAACAGAGGAAGCGCATGGTTGTCCCAGCTGCTCTTAAGATTGTGCGTCTTAAGCCCACTCGCAAGGTGAGCAGAAGAAGTGGGATTAGGGTCACTTTTCCAACTCTAATAGTAGAACTAATTGGCTCTAAAATTAGCAAGCATGGGTAAACTCAAAATGCTTCAGTTCACAACAGCTCTTTCTTGACAGCGATAAGCGATCTATTGATTAGATGGACTTTATGGATGTGATTACTGAGTTAAGTCAGGGACAAGCTATGACTCAAGTTGAAGCTTTAATATGAAAACTCGAGGTTTTTTTAAAGCTGTGAAATGGCTGATGTCTAAATCTTTATGAAAATGTGCTGTAGTAAATGTAGATTTCATGTTTACTGGTGGTGGTGTCAGCATTCCTTGGTTGAGTGTGTCAGCCTTAAAACATAAAACTCTTATTTTTCTCTCAGTTTGCTCTCCTTGGGCGTCTGGCACATGAGGTTGGCTGGAAGTACCAGGCTATCACAGCCACCCTGGAAGAGAAGAGAAAGGAGAAGGCTAAGCTCCGATACACCAAGAAAAAGACACAGATCAAGCTGACCAAGCAGGCAGAAAAGAACGTTGAAGGCAAGATTGCTAAATACACAGACGTTCTGAAACAATATGGAGTCCTTGTCTGAGCTGATAACTTTGGCCAATAAAGATAAATAAGTGTTTATACAAAGTTTATTGACCCTTTTTTCCATTTGTCTTAAAATGACCCTTCAGTTGAAATTCGTAGTCATGCGTGCTAGTAGTTGGGTTGAATGTATATACAGTCATGACCAAAAATATCCATTTCTTAGATAATGCACCAGTTCTCCCAGAACTGTAGGGACCGTGTTCTTTACATTGAAGGCTTCATGTCATTTTCTGAAAACAGCAGAAGGATGTGCTTGACTGAAAAGCTCAGTTTGTCATCTGTTCACATGATGTACTCCCAGAAGGATTGTGGTTGGTGGTTGGTACAGGTTCATCACAAATTAAAGAAGCATCACATGCCTGAAATATGGTTTTCTGAAGATTTTGAAAAGGGTGTCGGTTGAAAAGGTTTTTTTCTGCTTTTTGTGTTGTCCCACTGCAAACAAAAGTGAGATTACAAAAGAATTTGTGATTGCAACAGTTTTCTGGGAGTAGTAGTGCATTATCTGACAGGAGTGCAGGGGCACAGATATTTTTGGCCATAACTGTACACTCTGCTGGCATCTTGGGTACAATAAACTTAAATTAATGCGGTCAAACAACAACAGACCTGCTTTGAGCCCTCCCTTTATGTTGAGTCTTGGTAGAAACAGTTGGAGAGGTATTGGTTCAGCTGGTAATTTTGGAAACTAGTTTGTGCTGCAACTGAAATAAACTGCACTGCCTTTTACAGATGGGTTAAGCCTAGCTTCACTGAAAAGGTCTACCTTGAAACGGATCTTGATTTCAATGGGACTTGCTAGTAAAATAAAGGTTAAATTAAATAAAAATAACAAAAATACACACCTGTCAGTATAACCATTTAATTTAATAGCATCATAAACTACATCTTCCAAAATGATCATTGTTGAATCAACACCTGTAAAAACAGTTTCAACAATAACTATCCCTTTCATGAAGGAATAAAGGAGTGTTTCAAGGTA